AAAGATTTTATTATCAAATTTGTATTAAAGATGAATATTTATCAAAGAAAGAATTTTTGGCGAAAATCAGATTTACGATAGAATAATTGTACGCAGTAGTTTTAGCGACATATGCGAGTCGATATTTTTTTTTTTCAATCCTTAAAAGATTAACGAAAGAGTAAGTTTCAAGACCAATGAGGCTTACTGGGACATATAAATATTGTAGAGAATATTGTAAACATTTTATAAGAAAAAAATCTTCCTCGAAAAAAAAAAAAAGAAAATGAACGGTTTGATTCGATAAAATTAACGGAATAACATCCTTTAATGTTTCTACGACATAAATGAAATCTTAACGATGTCCGATTTGATACACTTCGACTGCAGGTGCAATTAATTACGCCCTGTCGTTAATTAATCAGTTTTATCGAGTTGCTTGGGTGCTGCGATTCATTTTTTACTTCCTCGAACGAATTTAATTTTGAGGCGAGGCACAAAAGTGGATGTTAATAAAAGAATTTAATGTCAAGAATTTGCACTTTATTTAAATAAAATTGCCCGCAAGATTACGGATTATGCTGAAATTTGTCTTGAAATTACAACAAATTCGATGACGATGTTATTTCATTTTTAAAAATTAAAATTGATAGAATTAATTATTCTTAATCGACGAGGTTTCAGTTTCAGAAACGTGTTTTCAGTAGTGCCAATCATCGTACTGTTTTTGTTTTATATCTAATTTATAATTTTCTTTCTTTTTTTTAGCATATCTTTAATCAACTTGTTTCCGCTACAAATGATTCGAGCTTCAATGGATCGAAAATTTTTTTCGTTCAACCATCATATTTAGTGAAAGTACTATTCTCGTTTGGTATTCTCAACTTCCATTTCTCATCTTCATCTGTGTATATATGTAGGATGCTTCAATGAAAGAGTCGAGGACTTCAAAACTACAACAAATTCATAGTTTACAGGATAATAGAAAATAAATATAAAATAAATGCAATTCGATAAGATGTACTATATTCTGAATGTTTTATACATCTTTTGCATATCACTTACATACTTGTGTATTCCTTTACAACTGACGAATATTTTACACCAACAACTAGCTCGTAGTTCAATGATTTACCGTGGAAATCGTAAAAAATTTTCAGATCTCTGGCTTTCAACATTCTACAACACTTTCTTTCGTTTTCTTCGTCTCCATTTCCGGGAGACTTCATCATCTCGTCGACGCGTGTTTAAGCGGCAACGACGGATTAAATCGAAAGTAGAGGAATGGCTCGCCATTTCTGGCGAACGAAAAATCCGGAATTCTGTTCGAGGACGGGTTGATCGCCAGAGCGATCGTCTAACTGTAAATACCAGAGAGTTTCCTCTTTCGGTCTAACCACTGATAGATCATACTACTCGCATCCGTTTAGAATCGAAACGCTCCGAGCGATTCGACATTTTTTTCCCAACAGACACATTCCACACACGCTCGTTTTCCAGTTTTTTTTTTTCTTTTTCAAATCATGACAATCCGAAAGTTTCCACCAATTTCCTTAAATGTTGAAAACGCTCCCATTCGTCGAGCAAGATGAAGTAGTTTCGCGAATGGGATTACCATATGCATTATCACCATGTGATCATCTTAGAGGTTATACAAGTATATGTCTGAAACGATATTGAGGAGAATCAATATAAATTGCAATATATACAAAGAACAAAAATACAAAGTAAAGTAAATTAAGTGAATTTCTACTATTTCCCTCCCGTATCAAAGCACTTGTGAAAACTAGCTAAAAGTTACATGGGAATTCGCAAGATTCGTTTCCAAACTTTCAACTACTTTCAAACGACGTCAAAACGACTTCTAAATTGCCCTAAATCATCGTTAGATCCAATCGATCGGAGGCAATCGTCGGATTATTATGGAATCGCTGGTGTTCACCGTCCCCCGCTGCTAGCCGTGCTAGTTTCCTTCGTTCGTGTGTGTCGTTCGCACAATCGGCTGGTATTTTATGCGATCCGCGAGTTCACGTAAGGATCACCGTGTCCGTCTCGACTCTCCATTCGGCCGGAATATGGGATTTGGTGTCACAACGCGGCAAGGAAGTAGTCCGCGGCTTCGTGAATTAGTAATCAGGATGTGTGTCTGCGGCTGGCGAACACACATTTTCGTGTGTACAACCATAGGTGTCTGTTTGAGTTAAGCTGAAACGAGAGAGAGAGAGAAAGAAATGAAATGGTCGGTGGATGAGAGAGGAATAAAGGAGAAAGGAGAACGGAAAGAAACGAAAAAGAGAGGAACGCAGAGAGAGAGAGAGAGAGGGAGATGGAATCGACGATGTGAGAAAGACGATGATGGGATGAAAAATTGAAAGAGAAAGTAAAAAGGAGAAACAGAGAGAAACGGAGAGCGTCGTGAAATCCAAAAGCACATGGAAGGTAATGAAGAGGAACTTTATAAGAAGAAACTTTTGAAAATATTTTTCTTCCCCCTGCAAGAAACTGTGCTTCACGCACATTTTAGTCGAAAATTCACTGTATATAACATTTTCAGATGTTATGTACGATCTCTCAATAGTATTAATATCGTTACTATATAAAGTACTAGAGTGTAACGTATCAAAAATTAAAAAGACGAAAATAAAAGTGCTCGAGGTCAGCATTAACAAATAGTTAATATTAATGTTTTCTTCTATTTATGCTATTCTCTTCTGTTTAAATTATTTAAATACACTCGGGGAGCATACGGCTAAAGAATACGATTAAACAGGTTTGTAATAAAAGTATATTTTAATCGAATAGCTAAATTGTTAATTTTTATTTAAATTTCAGAATTCGTATGTCAAGGATATATGTATATGCTGAAGAAGAAAAAGAAGAAGAGAGGTGTAAGAAGAGAAAAAGAAGAATAGAGAGAGAGACGGTAAAAGCCAATGTGCGTGGATCGTTCTACAATATAAGGTTCATACCAGCATTCTTGTCTGTGTCATTCGCCCCGGTAATTCATTATTCATTGAATGAGCAAGAATGTATACTGCCCCCGAATTGACTCGCTAAAATTTCAAGTTCGGACTTTCTACGTGATTTTATAGATAACTATATCTAAGTATACTATATCTTTTATAGTAACTATATCTAAGTATACTATATAACTATATCTAAGTATTTATTTGATTGCGTAATTTTGAACAAAGTCTATTCGGGATTCGTGGGAAAGTGTGTTACAATTGTTAGAAAACAGAAATATAACTTAAAAGTGTTAGAACATTTAAGACGAAAAATTGTAGATTCGTAAAATTATTGCAAAATTAAACTTATCATTTACATTTTTTATTTTTGAATTTTAGAATGCATATAAGAATAATCTCACTTAATGCAATTAAATACTTTTTATCCATTGATATTTTGATTGCTGTTTTAATTAATCAATTTTAACATTCATTATTAAATTTTGCAGTATATTATTAATGCTATAAATATAAACGATTTTATTATCCAATTCTATTGATAAATTTTATATATATATATTTATTTATTTATTTATTTTTTAATTATACGTGTATAAAATACTGATTGATTAATACTGATACTGAAATTACTTTTAATTTAGGCCAATTATCATATTTTTTTGAAGATCAACGACTACATTGTTATACGATCTTGAAAGATATTGTTCTTACGTAATACATACATGAGTCATCAAAGGAAATATTCCTGCTGGAAGTACTCAAATTATAATTTCTTAGGTGTCACTTTAAATATGCAAACTCTTCATGTACGATTGAAACATCTAAGAACATTTACAATATATTCTTTTCTAAAATCATAAAATTTAATATAAATCATAAACGTAATCTTCTACCAAAAAGTACTGGCTAATTTTTAACTGATACAATATTTCTGAAAATAAATCTCTAAAAAAATATTCCATTTTTTATATATTACTTTATTTTTCATGTCGTTATATTACCATCACGTTCAAATTTACCATTTCTAGAAATTTGTATTTTATGCAGTCATCATATTGCAGTCGTCATATTGCAGTCACGAATAGGCATAGCTAATAATCGATATAGTTATCAGCATAGTATCGTGAACAACATATTCGTTTGAGATCTGTTTTAAAATCAAGTAAAACCGCGCGCTCTTCTCCAGTCCATAACTTAACAGCTGTTCTATTTTTTAACAGGTACTTCTGTCTTTTTTTACACTTGACGTTAGACTTAACCCCTTTTAACGTGTCAGTAATAATGATATCATTTATTCAATTTATACATATTCGTTTTCAAAGCATTAATATACAACCTGTAAAGGAAGCTGCATAAAGAAATAATAAATACGATGTTAAATATTTTGACATTTTCATTCAATCTGCACAATTATACTTGTTTTTAAGTAATATCAAATATATTCTTTTGAAAGTATTAATATTATGATAATTTTGGCATTGTATTATAATAATGGCATTTTGTATGATATATACAGGTGATTATTTATTATATGTCATGAAACATTATTATATGTGTATATTATATGCATATATTGAAATTTTAATAAAAATTATTTTTATTTTGTAGTACTAAATAGTTTTATTGTAATTACAATGGCACAATCACCTACAAATCCTCCAAATAGTGAAGATAATACAAGCAAACATTTGTCTGTATCTTGTAATGACTTCACAAAAAATTTGTATAAAGTAAGTGAAGAATATTTATGCTATACATATTTTTTTGCTATTATAATTATATGATCTATTTTAGGAATTATCTTCTGACTATAGAGGAAATATAGTTAATTCACCATTAAGTATACACATGATATTATCTTATCTTTCTCATGGTGCAGAATCTACAACTTTAAATGAATTGACTAAAAGTCTTTATCACTATGACAAAAATTCAATACAAGAAGAATATAGATCATTAATAACTCAATTAAATGTAAGATTATCAAAATTATTATTATGTTTTGACACGTGCTTTGATACTTGCAAATATTAATTTTTTCTGTATTTACAAGGATTTGGAAGATATTAAATTGTACATCGCAAATTCAATATATATTCAAGATGAATTTGAACTATTGATGGAATTTTTAACAATTGGAAGAGAGTTTTATCAATCCGAAATCTCAAAAATAGATTTTAAAAATATTGATACAGCTGAAAAAATCAACAGTTGGGTTAAACAGAAAACAAATGATAAAATATCCAATCTTGTATCTTCAGGTGATTTATTTTGAAAGTAGTTATAATAATACAATAGCTATGTAATAATTAATATTTTTGTATAGATGATTTTAATGAGAATATGAAATTAGTATTAATAAATGCAATTTATTTTAATGGTAGTTGGTTAAATACATTTAATGCAAAGAATACAAAGGATAAAATATTTCATGTAACAAGAGATCAAACGAAACTTGTACCAACAATGTTTAATAAGTCTCAATATAATTATGGTAATATACCAATGCTGCAAGCAAAATTTATTGAAATTCCATATACAGTAAGTATATCCAGTAAGTTCATATACATAAGTTTTATATATCAAACATTGAAAGAAATATTTTATTGAAATCCTTTACAGAATACAGATATAGTAATGATAATAATATTACCAAATGAAATAGACGGCCTTCTAAATTTGCAAACTAATTTTTCATGGGAAATACTTACAAATGCATCACGTTTGTATGATGAAATTGAGTTACATCTTCCAAAATTCAAAATTGAATTTACAGTAGACTTAAAAAATATACTGAGTAAGGTATGATTATAAAATTTTATATGTTATATTAGAAAGTTTTTATCTATACTTCGAATTTTAGCTTGGTGTTAACAAAATGTTCAGTCACGATGCAAATTTTAAGCGTATTTCCAGTGTACCATTGATGGTAAATAAAATATTGCATAAAGCAGTTATAGAAATTAATGAAGAAGGTACTGAAGCTGCAGCTGCAACAGGTGATCTTAATTTTCAATATAATGAAACTATATTCTATTTACATTTTTGTATGATGAAACTGTATTCTATTAACATTAATTTATTTTAGCCGTTCATTTAAGACTTCGACGTATGGCGAATGCACCAAAGCAATTTCTAATTGATCGGCCTTTTATGTTTGTAATTGAATATAAACCGAAGAACATACCACTTTTTATCGGCAGTATACAGAATATAGGAATTGTTTCTCAAAAAGATGAATTATAAGTTTTTTTTCTATATTAATAGAGAGTAATTATTGATCTAAACATTTCTGTTTCTAACATTTATGTATATTTATAAAATATTTATACATACATTTAAATATATTTACATATGTTTCTAACATTATGTATATATATTATATACTACATAATACATTTATATAAATATAAAGATCATATAAAAAACACAATCCAAAAATAAATTATTTTTTTTGAATAAAAAACTTTATTTTACACAAAATATATTATTTAATTTTATTTATTATTCAATTAAAGTATAATATAAGTATATTATCTTTCTTCAATGAAAGCTTGTATCATTTTATTAAAAATATGATTTAATTCTGTTTATTAATTCATCTTTTTTACCAGATGTCTTTAAACCCAATATTTTCAAGATATCCTTTAAGTCTACTGCAGTAAAGTTTACTATCTGTTAAAAAAAAAATGAATGTATTATGAATTATATTTAAATATTATTTAATTCTGATATGTTTATCCATGTACCTGACCGCTTTTCACAAATTCTTGAATTTTATCCTTGTTTAAATTGCTTATTTCTATTGATTCGTTACTTTTTTTGGGCTTTTTCTTTGGTGGTATATCACTTGTATCTGTAGAAAATATTGTATCATATTTCTCTAGTAGATCGTTTGTAAGTTTACGCATCTTGTCGATTGTTGGATCTGAGATAAAATTTTATGCTATGTTATAAAATAATTTTCTACAATGTGTATAGTTCCATGACATAACTTACATGTAGTATCTGGTGGAGGCTCAAGCTGCTCCAAATGTAAAGCTAAAATTTCTACAGTTTGAAGCTGAACTTGTAGTTTAGGGTTTAAGAACAATTTCGGATTATATTCGAAACTTAATTTTTCTATGAGTTGTTCTAGCACTTCAACTCCTTCTGAATCAATTGGAGGTTTTCTTTCATCATCATATATATAGTTTGGGAAATATTTGCTAATGTCTCGCATATTTTCTATAATAATTCAAATCGAATGTTAAATGTTCTCTAAATTCATTTTTGTTTTATAACTAATCTATTTTATTCATGCTGTTTTAACATATTTTCACATTAGAATATATCAGAAGACAAACCTTTAAATGGTATTTTATACAAGTAAAATCCCCCGTTTTTTGCATTTGGCATCATGGTATATAGACTTGAAGTAGAATATTTTCTTAGTGTAACAACACATATTATCATTAATTTTTTTTCGTCACATTTATTCAGTAACGCACCAAATAATAGTTTGTTATCTATGACGAAAAATGAATAATAGTTTCAATATGTGATTAAAATTGTACAAATTTTTAAATATAGAATTAAAATTACCTTCACGATAACTTTTGCCTGGCATAACAAAATATGGTGTTTCAACATGATATAAAGGATGATAAGAACTAGGCTGTATACAAATTAAGTCAATGCCTGGTTCTCGTGTTGCACACATGAATTTGACTTCTGTTGGTGCAAAACATATTTTTTCATTACCAAACGTTTGACATTTTTGAATATCTGTTTCAAGAACACGTAATTTTTGTTGACTTTCTTCATCCTCTACATCTTCCTATGACATAGATATGATACAGATGGAAGAACATTCAAAATCATTAAATAATATGAAATGATAATAAATTATAATACATACTGTATCATTATTTTTAGGCACTACATAATACGTATTGGATATCAAAGGAATATTATCTTTTTTGGTTACATTTAATTTTTTCAAATATGACGTTTTGCTGAAAACAAAATGTTTTTTTCTGAATATATTGCAATAAAAATTATAGTCAAATAAAATTAGAATTAGTAATGAGTCATAAAAGTAACATAGTAACAAAAGAAAGCCTTATTTCTTACCTAGAAAGACTGCGAAGAACAACATCTACAATCACATTTTCTCCAAGTCTCCAAGGTAGCTTTGCCATATTTTTAGATGGTACTTTTACTTGTTCCAGTACATCTTTCAAGGACATTCTTTTATAATCATCTACATCGATTTTTCTAGATGACATTTCTAGATCTTTATAGAATGAATCATGATTCCAATTTTTGCCCAAACCAACAACAAGTAATTGAAGATCTATGTCACTGAAACTCTTTGCTTGTCGTCTTATTCTATGTTTTTCCTTGTCGTCTGTTATTGGGGGATTATCTTGACATGTAAAAAGAATTACTCTTCTCATTGACATAGTTGTGCGGTTAACAGAGAATGCTCGTGCTGCATGCTGTAATACATCGTGTAGTGGATAAGCAGTAGAGGAAGCAATATCTCTGTAATGCTCCCATTTTTTCCCTTCATCTATGTATAAAATACAAAAGATACAAAAAAAAAATGATTAAAAAAATATTCCAATACCAAAAAAAATTAAAAATCACATTCCTACTTATTAGTTTTATTAGCTTTTTATTCTGTAAAATTTAACTTTTTAACTATCTAACACGACTAAATATAGGTTTCTTCTGCAATTAACATATAATTCTTATTCTCTGTAACAAAAATTGCTTTGAAATTGCAAATTAGTTTTTACAGTAACATGTAGATATAATATAGATTACCTATTTTCTTCACTTCTTTCAAGTTCTCTATTATAGGAACACTTAATTGATGAAGAGTCAATATATGTTTCAGATCCTCATCGGATTCTTCAGTTCCAAATAGAATTAAACCTATCCAATCTTGTCTATCCCATACCAACTTTTGCTTGAGGACCTCCTTGTATTGCTAAGTTAAAGAAGAAATAATAACACAAACTAATATTTAAAATTTTATTTAGATAAATTAATCGTAATTTAATAAAAATATTTTTTGTCATGCAGGATGTCCCAAACTTAAGGCGTTTCCTGACAAACTTTGTATAACATTTTTTTTCTTCTTTTTACATGTAAATCAAGCCTCACAATTTTGCCTGTGTAAATTCAGAACATCCTGTGCATTGAAGACCATAACAACAATTAAAATGAATAACAAACCTTAATGCATTGTAAAAAATATGGATTATCAGGGTCATTTTTAAACATTGGTAATGTTGCATCAATCACAAAAATTGTTCCTTCCCTGATGCCATAAAGCTCTTTAGGATCATCTTCAAAAGATTCATCACTTTCTATATCCTCCTCGTTGAAAAATGCCATTGTTATTGCCTCACCGCCACTGTCCAACTGTCTTCCCTAAATCAACGCGATTAAAACATATTACATTCGGAATATTCGCAAGTAACGAAGCGAAACATAACGAAGTTTATGTCTATTGTCGAAGTAATAACATTGAACTGCAGGAAAACGTTCTTGGTTATTGTACCATTGTACAATATCTCTCGAGCATGTTAGAACAACAACAGTTGCAGATCATTACGTACGTAATTTTTGCTTCGACAGGAGAGACTCACCTCTCACGAACTGTTTCTTAAATCCTTGGTAAAAACGACAGAACATGTAGTACACGTCGTTCGCTCGATTGAAAACCCGCGCGATTATGATTGTACTTGCGGCAACGCCACTTTCCGGCCGGTCGCAGATAACGTAATCTTGTTTTACTGAAAGAAAGAACAAAAGAGACGTGGACGTAGAATGATCAGTATTCTGCTTTTGAAAAGACGATACCTACAACGTTCTTGAGTAGTTTAAGTATATAATAATTAAGAGCTCGGGACAGCTTTGGTGAATTCCAAACTGTAGCTCGCGAAAAATAAAATTACAAGTAAAAAGAATTCGCGAATTGACAGATATCCTGACTACAGCTTGTAGAAATATCGTATAATCTTGGATTTTCGAGAAGGTGACATCAATTGCGAGAAATTAAATTCGTGATTCGATCTGTTGAATAGGATTTGCAAAATCTTTACTCAAAGATTTTGTAGGTCAAATGGAAGATTGAGAGTCTGATCCTAAAAAAAGAATCGTAAAACAATTATTTACATTCTCATGATTAGGTTTTTTCTGCAAATGAAAATTAATAAGTTAATGATAAATTAATTAGCGTCGCGTAGCAGTGAAATAGTGGAACTAGTCGCTATTGTTATCTTTCTCACACAGTATCGCTCTCCTTGTCTTTCATGTTGTCGCATATTACTGCGCTCTTCACTGTAGCGACATCTATTGTTATTTAACTATTTAACTATATAATCTATTTTCTTATCGAAAGTTACCAAGGAGATTTATAACAAGTGTCAATGAGATATAACAAATTTCTAGGATATATATAACAGTTGTCAAGAAGTTAATAGACAGTCGTCAAGTAATATCCTGTATTAGTATTTTATGCTAAAATAAAGTACGAAATTTCCTTTTGTAGTACGGTGACTTTATCATTTACAATCATCGTACCTACATTACCTGTACGTGCTGCCACCTATGGCAAGGCATTGTATTCTCCCATGAAGAATGTAAATTAGTTGTACGTTTTTTACATTTACAAAAACTTTTTACATCTTTTTCATTTCCGACAAGTAGCATTTTATTGTCGAAATACATGAAATAGATTTTTTTAAAAGTTAACTATTTTATAGGATGTAAGCTGATGCTCTAATAACGGTTTGTTTTTTTCAGTGCTTGTCAATATACACAGAATAAATAACAAGATTTTAAAATACAATTAAACTATTCTGATTTATATAATGTTCTTGCAAATATATTTTGTACAATTTTACAGCAAGTAATCTCATTTTTTTAAATCTATCGTAGAATCATTTCCACAAAGACTGGAAGACTCGTTGGTAACTTGAGGATGGTTCACACATCTCTAATCAATAAAAAAAAGAACTGATTAATTCCTAATGTATATTTAAACATTCATAATTAAGTTGCTAAAACAGATACAAGAGATTATACAAATAACGGGTAATTATCATTCCTTTTCTGAAGAAAAAGCTTAAACAATTCGACTTAAGTTGATCGAATTTCAATCAATTTAATTAATTCAATCAATCAATGTAATTAATTCAATCAACTTAATCGGAATTCAATCAAATTAATTCGGAAAGCTTAAACGTCTCTTTTATTCTATTGAATGAAACGCAATACGTTTATATAATACATTTATACAATACAAACACGAGACAAATGGTAGTCTGAGTCCAATAAAGAAAACGAATGAAACATGTTGGAGTTACACATTTCTACTGATAAATAAAATCCAATAATCAAATTTTCACCAAGAGAAACTTCTGGTTTTCGAAAATGTCGATATTCCCGCTTAAAATTTCATCAAAAACTGTGCTGTATCAAGAGGAACGCACGACAGAGGGCTTTTCGTACCACCTCCTCGAGACTCATGTGCTCCTGATACAAAATTCAAATTTTCAGCGAGAAAGACATGCTGATTCTCGCAATATCGCTGCTTAAAATTTTTTTTCGAAAAACCTCTGTATAAGGAAACCCCTCGACGGGGCTTCCTCGTGCCACCTCTTCGAGACTCATAATTTCCTTATACTGTTTATAATTTTCTATTTATGATATACTCAAGTGCAGACTAGTGTCAAGCCTAATATTAATACTATTCTCACATTCAATGGTATGTGTAATTTATTTTGTAAAAGAAAGTTTATTTGCAATTTACTTTATTTCATTTATATTTATTTATTTTATATTTATTTATATTCATTTATATTTATTTATTTTATATTTATCTATATTCATTTATTTATATTATCTATATATTTATTTATTTATTTCACTTATATTTATCTATTTATTTGTAACTGATTTATGTTCATCAAGCAATCATAGATGGCTTTATCAGTGACACAAGGAGGAAAAAGATGTTCGCTGAGATTTTACGCAATCGATGTTTTTGTTTTCGCACGAACGTCCCTCATTATGCAAAAAACACACAACATCCGTATCACGCTAGTTTCCTTGTAACCAGTCTAGAGCTGAGGCTACAGAGGCAACGCACGAGGGAACATAGAATATAAAAGTAGCATAAGAAGAATCGCGAAAGCTATGACATTATTACGATCACGGTCGTCAGTGATATCGTTAACGTTGATCTTGTTTCTTCTAACTAGTCCTTCGTACAAAGCACAGAAAGAAGGTAAAATTGATTTTGTTCGATCGGTAAATAATCTTCCACATACGCATGAACTTTAGAAACTAATCTATATTCAACATCTAATTTTTCTTTTTTCAAACTTTCATATCTGCTTTTGAACATTCACATCTGACTCGCACTTTAGCTTTACAACGAATACAAAGATCTGCAATGAAATTGAAACAGGAAATAATGGTGAATCTGAAATCTACTTGCCTTGGAAAAAACAGGGAGATCCGATCTGTCGTCTTGTTTCCCCGCAGCCTTTATAATTATTTAGATAAATAAGGTCGCAGCGAGAAATCCGAGGTGCGCGAAAAATTTTATCTAATGGATATTGTTATTTTGCAGGCGATAGATGTATCACAGATGGTGTTCCAGGTGTTTGTACGTTTTTTCCGCAATGCCCTCCGATGTATCAAAATGCATTGATCGGGCAATTTCCACGTCAAGTATGTGGTTTCTCAAACTTGACACCAATCGTCTGTTGTCCTCAAACAATGACTACCACTACTCAATAGGTATATATTTCCATTTTAATAGATATATATTTTATTATACGACAGATGTTTATACAATTTTATATCATAATGGAACCTATAATACATGTCACAATGAATGCTCTACTTTGCATATCTTGATGTACATATTTTTACACTTTCAAATTTTCCATAAACATCCACAGTGTACTAAGAATAATCTGCAAATTTTGAAAACTTCTCTATGAATATAATTATAATTTAGATAAAAATACTTGAACTTAAATTTTTAACGATAAAAACATGACATATAATAATAAGCGATTATAATGATATTTAACGGATGAAACAAAAATCTTTATTTGAAAGAATAAAACTGCACGAACATCCTTAATGTACTTGTTAGATGCCGATTTCGAAATCTTATAATTTTGTGCTTTTAAATCTATCTGCTATTATGTCTATCAGTAGTAAAGATACATCTCAAGAAACTTGTTAGAACTGCGTTGTACATGTTGTATTAATTACTGAATTGACAATTAATTACTTACTTAGAGTGTAACAAGTTTGAGAAAATAAAGCCAAAATTTATAATCGGTGGTACCAAGGCTTCTCACACGGAGTTTACATTCATGGCTGCGATTGGATTTGGTAGTTTCGAGAACGGAAGTCTTGCCTGGTTATGTGGTGGTACCCTTAAGAATTTCAGAACAATTCGTCGTAACTGCAGTACACTGTACTTACGATCGTAACTGGTAATAGCTTGAATATCAATATTATAATCTCGATATTACTAAATAACGCAAGTAATTATAAGACAATAATATATATGAACATTAAGAAGAAGCAGGATGAATATATATTTATTTTGATTGATTTTAGTTTCAACATTTTGTGAACAACAAGTTATATTATCACCACTGTTCATAAGAAAGTACTTGCTGTTCTAGGCTTTCAAGAAATGTAAGATCACTATGTATCACTGGTATCTTTACTATGTTATACGATCGATCTTTAAAGTCAAACTTTTAAAAGGATAAAATTTGCTTCGAGAAGCTTGCAAGTGAAATTTCGTTTTCCCGGATTGTCGATGTTATTCTACGATTAAACAAGAGAATTTTTATATAACGAATTATATATAATGTAATGAAATTGATTCTTTACAGGGGTAGCGTAATTTGGGTACGATTAGGTGACTTAAACCTCGAGAAAATGGAGGATGATGCTGGTGCAATTAATGTACGTGTTATCGAGCGAATAAGACATCCCTTATATAAACTATCATCACGATATCACGACATCGCGCTTCTCAAGTTAGAAAGAGAAATAACATTTACTCGATTTATACGACCCTGTTGTTTAGCGGACTCCTTATCAGATAATAATTCCAGTGATAAGGCTATTGCAATGGGATGGGGGACTGTCGAATGGGGTATGTACTTTCAAGTTTCCATTCTCTTTGGATAAAATATTTTTATTGCGGACTTTTATGTATTTATGTATTTAGAAATTTAAAAATGCAAAAATATTAGTTAAATATTATTATACATATTCTACATATTGTTTACATTATATGAATATATAAATATACATACATAATATCTTAATATTTGAGGAATAGGTAAAATGAATCCTTGCCTATATTCTATTCTTTTAGTTGTATTCGTAAAAATGTTAATTTTCATAAAGATCCGCAGTATTAGCAGTTATTTAAATCTAGACTAAAATTAAAGACCTTTCCTTTTCAACAAAATAATGCTCAACCAGAATTTTCTTCCTGTTTTTCAGGTGGAAATAGTTCAAGTGATTTATTAAAAGTCACACTCAACTTGATACCTCATTCAGAATGTAACAGAATATTCACTAATGACAGTACACTCCAATACGGAATCGTAGAAAATTGGCAAATTTGTGCCGGTGGTCCTGGGAAAGACACCTGTCAGGTAACAATTATAACTACAGCTCGATTACATTTTTATAGAAACATTAATTTAAAAGTATTAAGTTTGAAAGATAAGATTCTTGAATATTAATAATATTACTTGCACAGATTTGAAATTAATTAATTGAGCTAAATTAATTATTGTTCGTTTTGTATTGTAATTAATATTGTAAAACGTTGTGAATTTTTCATCTATTTTCAACTTATATATCTTGAAACCAGCTTTAATACAAGCAGTTTTGAAAGTTCAGAAAAATGGATTTACTTTAAAAATCCAGAATATAACATAAGGGATGATATTACTCATAAAGTATGACTGATAATAATATAAGTAACATAAATGATGAGAAATATTTATTTTGTATCCAGGGCGACAGTGGTGGACCATTAGTTGTTCGTAACAATACCAGTTTCATATTCAGGCTGATCGGAGTGACAAATTTCGGGAAGCTTTGTGGTAGTGTTAGTCCCGGTATATATACTCGCAATTACAATTATATATCATGGATAGAAGATATAGTGTGGCCAGATCCTTAATAAACACATTTTCTATCCCCTGTTTACTTTATTTTCATGAGTTTAATGAACTTCGATACTGAAGACCAAGAATACAAAAGAGAAAGGATACAATAAGTTGCACTTCGCATTTACTGGAAGAAAGCAATTTTACGACTCTATGTGTTATCACTCAATCTCACACTATTAAGATTGTCCTTACATTATCGCATAATACGTTCAAATTCAACGAAAGGATTAATAAATCCGGATTGTGAAAATATTAAAATCAACAAAAAATGCACTGATGTTTTTTCCTCCGTGATCTTGAAAACGAAAATTTCGGAGGATTATTTAGCATCGATCTTTAGACGCGCAAGCGCTAACCGGCAGGTTCTACCTAGTTTTTGCGACACGGTGTACGCGTGCAGTCGGTGACACCGAGGTGATCATCTCTATTTTCGTTTTCGTCCAGAATTTCGCTGCCGAGGTAAGGATCGTTGTCTCCCCTAAGCTCATAAACACAACGCGGCTGTAGCACAAAATACAACGAGAGAACCAACACACAGCGTGAACATGCACATGTACTATCAAGATTAAAAACTAATTTTCACCTATGTTACAACTTGAATGTAAACGACGCCAGGGTATCACCTCTGTATCGAGGAAAAGATATTCGTTGATTAAAAATTCATGGTTTGTCAACACATAATACAAACACGTAAAATACGTAAAAAAAAAAAATGCTCAGAAATGCTTGAAACCGTTTTATTCTATGTGACGAAACGGATGATGTCCAATTAGGTATGTCACATTGATACGTTTCTGATTTATAATTGCATTCAGTTGGACTATTACGTATCACACATGTGTTTCAGAAATGGTGTATCTCAAACGAATTCTTTTTCAAAAAAAGGCGAGAACTTACTTGAAAAATTACAAAAAAAAAAAAAGTATGTACTAATTATTTGTCGAACGCGTAGATTTTAAAACATAGTGCTTTAGTCGTTGAATCTATCTTCTATAGTGTTCCTCCAACGCAGAATTAAATCATTTCGAATTGCAACATTTTCGAAATTCATGTGCGATATATTAGAAAATCATTGCAACAAGTAACAAAAATATCACGTACGTAGCACGTAGATTCAATGTCTGCCATTCTCGACGCATGTGGTAATGATACCGGATCTCCCTCGATATCAAAGGCTGAGGATAACTTGTCCAACAGTGACGGGCCACTGATCAGGGGCTGCGTTCGTCAAAATAGCTGCAGCAGCGTTCACATCAGGTAACAATGAAAACTTCAATCCGACGTTTAATATTTGTATCGACAATAACAACAACGAGTTTCAGTTCCGAGAACGTTAATCGAACGACGATCGTATCGTCTTACACCATGTCGGCGTCCAACGAGAAATTAACGAAACGACGGTACTGCCTGTGGACCTTGACTTTTGTCCTGGCGATACTCGGGCTTTGTAATCTGTTCCTAAACATCACTGTGATCGCTGTCCTACGAATCAGTCAAGGAATGGAAGCAATGGAAGTGATACCTGACGAGAATCTTGTGAAATTTTATGGGAAAACCGACTTGGACAGGGTCAGATATTCACAAACAAATGTTAGAAATATTTTTTCTAAGATTGGTACAATTGACGATATGCCACATTTACATGTAGGTATGCTTGCAATCAGGAGTTTGTCAAAGTTATGGGGACGAGCCGATGGAGATATCCGGCGACGAAGCTGGTGTGCAGATACACGTGAACAACCATCGATTGTACGACGAAACGCGTGCCAAAGTACTGGTTTTATCGAACGGCACCACTATGTCGAAAGTAGAATCGTTCGAGCTGAAGGATCCGGCCACCGGGATTGTTTACTTCACTACCGATTTCCCGAATTTCGGTTTACCCGCTGGCGTGGAGAAAATCGATGTGAAAATCGCGGAAACACACCGAATCACATCGCCGGTTAATGAAAGTCTCACCGTGAATTCTGACGATCAAATTTCTATACAGGGCGCAGAAGGCGCCAGCATGGAGAGCAAAGATATCGTCTGGAGCGCCGACACGGATATTTTCTTGAAAAGCGTCAACGGAAGCATCATCCTCGATACCAAAGACGGTGTCTCCATCGACGTAGAAAACATACCAGTTGCTCCGATGTTCTTGCAGAATCCATCTAGCCACGAACAATATAAAGTTTGCATTTGCATGCCGCAAGGGAAGCTTTTCAAAGTAGCGATTCGTGCTAACAGTCGATCGATTAACTGCGCTCGTATCAGTCGAACTCCAGAGAACGATCCTTGCTTGCGATAGGATCGAAATATCAAATTTTTTATTGCAATCTTGTTAACATATCCAACACTGCCGTATGTAAGAAACTAAACGAGCAATGTCTGACTTGCTATTACCGAACGTTAGTTAAATATTTGAAACGATTTAAGAAAACTACGTATTTACACATAGATGAATTTGAAAGACACTAGGAATTTGGATCATACATTACAATAGATACACATAATTCGAGCTTTATTCGAGGTGTCATGTACAATTCCACACATAGTTTGATTACGTGAAAACATCAATACTAGTTACGTTGTCATTAATAAAAAATCATACATACTTGGAATTCGTATACAATACTGAATACATTAACTTTTGTATTGAATAATCAAGATTAAATCGTAGAAAATAGTACAGAATTCTTACCTTAGTAATAGTAAGGAGAGCACTAAATGAAAACATAACTAAATTGAATAAAACATTAAGCACTCTCTGTTATCATTTCTTCATTGCTTTCTTCCATATCTTCTTGTTGTTCTTGTTCTGTAGGTGGTTCGTATGCTTTGTCCAAGGGACTAGCAACTACACCACCTGCCCATACACTCATCTCTACAGCAAGTTTATTTGTACCCTCGAGCAATGGTCTATAACCTCCATGAGCCAATACGCGTAGTAATGTCTGAGCTGTGAGACATACCAAATCTTGTTGTTCCAATGTCATAGCTGTATGTACACGTATATTGCCACCCTCGCATGGATCTGAAATACCTTAGTGAACATACAAAATATGTACTCACAAAATATTCTATTGAAATATTATGAAAATGCAATCTTACCAGCTGATCCAGGAAGAAAAAGTCCAGAAGCAAGTAACTGAAGTACTCTTTTATATGCTTGATTTATTGGAAGTGCCTGTCTACTGGGATTATTCATTATAGCATTGTGAGCTAATAAATCTAACATCCAAGGAGATAATGGCTCTAGACCTTCAAATCTACTTCTCAAATCCCTAAGTAATCTTATTAGAACTTTTATACTGGAATGATGAGCATTTTCTTCAAACCACCGAGAATGTCTAATCGCAGCAAGATGGCCTTGACATATCTTTACATCTAAATGTTGATCCGACTCTAATTTTCTCAAGTTTTGATGTAGAGTAGTGATCAATACTCGCACTGTAGCTTCATTATTAGCAATATCAAAGCCACGCTCTGTGTGAGTAAGTCTAAAAATTTCTTTGGGATTTACACTCTTCAAGTCATTGTTAACTTTCGTACCTAGTGCTTCTACTGCCGTCTTAGTAGGTAATGTTTTAAGAATCACAACAATATCAGCTACGTTGTGACCCTTGATCATTGTTCCCTTTTTAAAGCTACCTACTTGTCTCACTTCCTCCAATTGCTAAAGAAAACAGTCTTTATCAAATAAACAGGAAATGCCATGTATATGATTAAATTGTATGACAAAATTGATACTTACACAAGCTTCGAAACTGCCTGGAGCAACTATTAAATTATCAAGTACAGTCTGTAGTTTAGTCACTAAGTTTAAAATGGAAGTTTGTTCCTTCGGCGTAGGACACATGTCTGTATTCTTTTTTAAAAGTGCCATTTGGAAGTCTGACTCGTCTGGTGCTGGTTTAACACGTGGGAATGCAGCCTCACATAATGTATAGTCAAACGGATGACGTGGAAGGAACTGTTTCCTTGGAAATCCCATCCCACGTCCCATACCACCTCTACCTCCTCTAATCATTCCACCTCGACCACCTCGTACCATATTATGTCTAATCATAAAAATAAAAGCATTCAAAATTATTCTAAAAATATATTTATTACAATATATTAACATTCTCAGAAAAGTCAAATATTTTTCGGTAAAGAGTTGTTTAAGTTATATATGGATCTAAATCGAATAGGTGAATTAACATGATATAAATCAGCGATACAATATAATGTGAATTAATAAAAGAATTAAAACAGTAAAACTGAACTTAACCACTTTCCGGTAACATCATAAGCCATGTACGTTTTAATATGTCAAAAACCATCTAAGCTTTCACTAATTATGTTATATTTACCAAAGAATACAAAAGTTAATTTATACTATAATGTTTTCTTACACTTTTCTCAGTAAACTTTCAATTTTTCAATCACACTCAGAAACACGACAATTGGAGTAGCCGGAATAAAGCAACATCAGGTGTATCAGAGTCTTCATTGAAAATTTAATACAAGATGGACTACTATAATATTGTTCAAACAACATCTGCAGCGCCATCTAGTTACAATGATTCTGTACATTTCTTTTAAATAATAACAGATACACAAACAAGTAAATGGAAAATTATAAAATTGCACTATTGTAAGAAATGTGGAAAAATATTTGTAAATGTTAAACAGAAATTACATATAAAATGTACATTTAAATTGATTCCAAAACAATGTAGCCAATAATTGTCTACTCTCTTATATTTAATTTTCCACAAGAATTATATTATTTCTTATATATTAATATCTTCTATATTCTTTTTGTAACATTGTGGAGTAATTATTTTAATTTTTTGTGAAGTATTATTCTTTTGCCTGAGTAAATGAATAATCAAGCAAAGCTGTTTATAATATATATAATATATGATACAAATTTAAAAAATTGCACATATAATATAAATTTGTGCTAATTACAAAAGAATTTTAAATATATGTACTATATATAATTTGTAATTGTAGATATGTTCATTTTAAATTAAACATCAAACATCAAATAAATATTAGACATCCATCATACACCTTATAAATTCATAAGTATAACATTAACATAGTTCAAATGAAACTGGAAAATTAAATAACATACATTTTACTGCTGTCCTTTGCTTCATTCGGTCAGAATGTCTAAAATTTTTCTAAAATCAAAAACATCCAGCATGCAACTTAGATTGCAACGTAGAAGGTAAATGAAACATTTTTGTAAAAATCGCAATAATACAATATCAATTGTATCTTTTATTTTATAGAAAGCAACATGCAAAGGACCTTATCTTGAAACCTTATGACTTCTGTTGTTCAATAAATAATGTTGATCCATTAACACAATATGACAGATTAAGGTCACTTTACAGAACTTCATTGATATCCTTGCAAACAAGAACTGAAAACCCAACTTTGAAACTGCGAGCAGAATTTACTGATTGTATAGATCCTGCAGTGAGATTGTTGCAGCAAAAGAAAAGTCTTAAAAACAAACAATTAGATATAGGAGATCACAGATATAAAAATAAGAAAAATATGCAGATTTTTAAAAAACTAAGAAAAATATATGAAGGAAAGAAATTACACAAATCAATTGCTAAGAAAAACAGAATTTTAGATATTGGTGATGATTTTGAATTTAAAGATTTGCACGATAAAAAAGTTACATCACTTCTTCAAGGACCATTACACTGGTATTTAGAAGATGAGATTGCTGCAGCAAAAGATATTCTATGGGAACAAAAACAAAGAGCATATAATGAAAAAATGAATAAGAATATTGAAATTGGAAAAGAAAAAAGTAAATATTTTCTTAATTTAATTTAGTTAATATTTGTATGGTTATTAGTACATTTGTGTGGGTATTAGTACAATAAAAGTTTAAAACATCATGATTTCCTTTCCTAGTAAAAGCTGTTATGGTACAAGAAACACACCTATGTCCACGATGGTATCAAGATTTTTCTATTAATCAAGTATAATATTTATTTTTTATTGATCAAGTATAATGTTAAATTTCAGTTAAAATATAATATATTTTCAAATTGGTAGATTAAAAATTTAAGGATGTTACAATGTATAATGCATAAAGATTGTAAAGAAATGGTAACAGGACGAACTCGAAGAACACTTTTATCAATTGGAATTATATCTACATTTTTTACACTCACACCAGATGTTGTTAAAAAATTACAAGAAACTTGTAACTGCAATGTAATCGAATTTTTAAGAGAAATTTATAAAATACTAACTGGAAATTATTTTGAAGAAGAAGGATACAGTATGTTATATTTTCTTACTTTAATTCTTTTTATTATATCTTTATTTTACATTCTATTTTTAATTTTTAGAAAATTTTTATGATTGTAATGAAAGAATAATTTTATCAGCCATTGCATTTTTGACATTACCAGAAACTATTATAGAACTCCATAAACGTTTACCCTCTGTGACAATGCCAAAATTACCATCAAAACGTAACTTCTTTTTATTCAATAAATTATTTATACATTACTATACTTTAACATCATTGTGTATGCTGATATCAATTTGTTATCCTATTAAATATTATTTATATAGCCATTCCACCAATATTATCAAAAAGACAAAAGATGGAATTACCCTACAAAGAAAAACTTTTTTTGCGACCAGATTGGGTAACTTTTTATAGTTGCCTGCAAAATTGGCAAGAACAACGTCGACAAATGTCAATTCCGAATGTAATATTACCTCCTAAAGATTGTATTTTAAGTAATTTTACAAGCGCAAAGATTAATTCTTATTATGAAGAAAGCAAACGCAGTGAAGTACAAAATATTTCTCAAAATAATCCTTCTATTCAAACGAAACATTTACACAATATTTCTATTAAAAGAAAACAAGAAAAGAATACTTCCATTGGTAAAAATCAGGAAAAAGATATTTCTATTGATATAAAACAAAAAAATACTGTATCACTCAAAGAGGAGAATAATTTGCCTGATAATTTTCCCTATAATTTTGAATTAAATGAAGATCAACGTGACTCTATAAGAAATGAATATATATTCTCTATAGAGAATAATGAAAGTCAAAGATTTAAGAGTATAGTAAATAACGCAATATATACGAAACAGGGAATACAATATAATCCACAGATATCTACTGGTCTTAATGTTCCACCATTATATGGTGGAAATAGATTATTTGATTTTACGATCAATGGAATTGGCGAGAAACCAGGGCCGGTAGAATATAAAATATGTGGAGTTTTACAACCGCCTCAATCAAATAAAAAGTCTTGGCTTGACGAGAAACATGCACATTACATAATATCTGGTGCTTCAGATGAACCACCAACTTGTCCTGTAACATATGAAATGACTGGTGTTGCAAATGTGACACCCTCCAATAGCGATGAAAGATTTTTTGCAGTTCTAAAACTTGGAGATGGACCTAAAAAGATTTATCCAAGCGGTAGGCAGAACTTATCTCGTCATTGGCAAGAATGGCTGCAAAATGTGGATGAAGAATTTCGGAAAATAGAAAGGGAGGCAAACAAAATGGTAAAAAGTATCGAAGCTATAACAAAACTAGTATTTCCAGAGCCAACGTGCGACAGTTGTTGCTCCTGTAGACAAACTAGAAAATCATATTTAAAAGCTAAGGAAACAAAGGCGCCTTATTTTGTAATAGACACTATAACTGAAGATGACAATAAAAAGAAATACATTGTAGGGTCAATGGCAATGCATTCCCCTGCACCAACGCCTCCAGAATCGACCATGAATTTATTAGAAGTTATAGCTTCGGAAGATGTTCTTACTGACAATATCATAATAAGTGGTGTCACAAATGAAACAGGTGAAACTCAATATTTTATTACTGGTTCACAAAAGCAAGTTATACATATGCCACAGCGTGTTGTAGAACCTCCACCTCCTAGACCACCTAGAAATGTTCCACCTTGCGTATGTGCAATTCAACAAATGTTCAGCAAAGGCTTGTCTTCAAACGTAAGTCACGATAATATACCATGGACGAAAGACGAAGGCCTATGTTTTGGAAAAAAATTTAGACTCCATGAACCTTCTGCGTATTCCTGTAAAAATTATCCAGGTGATAAATCATGTAGAAGAAATCCATTTATACAAGACATAAATAAATTAAAAAAAAGAACTGAAAGAGCAAAAGAAAAGCAAACAGGTCAAACTAAAGAGAAAAAGAAAATTTATAGTATCGCAGATTTTAAACCATGTGGAGACGAACATGGCATGAATATTTGTGGAGGACCTTGGGGTGCTTTACATACTTTAACACCTGAAGAATTAGCAGAACAGGAAAGATTGCGAAAAGAAATATTAAAAGTAGGTTTTATTCTTGTAAATTCATTAATTATAAATATAGAAATCATTGTAATATTCTATAAAATTTAGAGTCCTCCATGTGGCACGAAACCTGGACGAGCTGTCTGTGAGGGCCCTTTTGGAGAAAGAATACGGTTTAAATCACCACGTACATTAATAGAAGAAGAAATTCCAGGAGAAGAAGGCATTGAAGAGGAAGAAGAAGAAATAGAAGAAGAAGAAGAAGAGTTAACGAAGCCTTCTCCGGTTGAGGTAAAGAAAAAAGAAAAAAAACGCGACAAAAAATGTTATATGAGTCCAGAAGCTATTGAAGCCAGAAGGCAAAAGGTAGTCGAGAAAAAGGTTAAGAAATTTATTCCTGACCCGAGCTATCCAGGTTACGATGATCCATGGAATATATTTCGTACAGCACCGTCGGTAAAAGAATCTGAAACTGATTTTAAAAAATTATTGAAACTTAGTTCTCCGCGACCGCCAGCTACACCTGTACTATCTAAGGTATTGATAGATGAAAGTGGAAAATCTGCATTACACAAAGATATTACTAAATCAGATATAAAGAAAGATCGTCCAATTGTGGAAGAGTCGAAAAAAATATCTTCCACACGAAGTACATCAGAACAAATTTGGAAGAAAAAAAGTAAAAGAAAATTGAGAAGCGAAGAAAAAATAAGTGAAAGAAGACCAAAAAAATCTAATAAAAAAGAATTTAAAAAAAGCCAGGAAAAAATAGATAAAACAAAATCAAAGTTAGATAGAAAAATAATTACAAAAAGTCAAGAAAGTGAAAAGGATTATGATCAAGTAATAAAAAGTGATACAATAAAGGATAAAAGAAAAGATCAAAGTGTTTCGGTACCTGTAAAAAGTAAGCATGATCGAAAGATGGCTACGAAATCCGTGGAAAATCCTTCACACAATCCTAAATATTTAGAGAAACAAAGTGGAGGATCGAATTCGAAAAAATCTAGTAAAGAAACATCTTCTATTAAGCTTCCTAATAAGCCTCATAATTATATGCGCAATGTAACAAATTATGAAATTAATAAACAAGATAAAAAAGGGAATAATCCAAAGAAATTAAATCCCAAGTTCATCACGTTGTCAGATATAAAAAAGAAAAAAATAAATAAACAATTGAGTACGAGAAAAAGGTCGATAAAACGAGATAGAAAAAAATATATATATATTGACCAAGACATAAATCCTGAAACAGCTTATAAAAATAAGATACACGAATTAAAGAATATGATGAAATCTACTAAGATCTATCCCTATGATATAAAACCAGCAGAGATTCCAGATGATCCCCCAGCAAAATGTCAACTAGAGTATGAAGATTTAGAACCTACAATTAATGCTATACAAATTGAAGAAGATACAGATGTACAACCGCCAAGTAAAGATCCTTGTGGTTGGAAGACAAAATCAGAACAACAATTGTCAACAAAGAAAACTCTGGTGTATCTAACTGATCCAGATTATCCTCCGGAAACAATACCAGTAAGACCAGGAGGGAAACCATGTGTTTGTCGGGAAAACAGAGCAAAGAAGAAAATATTATTGTACAATATCGGAGGACTTATAGGTGGGAAGAAAAATGACGAAGAAAAAAAATTATTTAAGAAAAAGAAAGACGAAGATAAACAGATGCAAGTCATAGATGGAGTTATTTATTATACTCCACCACCAAGTCCCCGTAGAAGCGACGAATATGTACCCGAATATGATCTTTGTAAATCCCCATATGATATGTGTCTTACTCAACGTAAAGACCGAAATCTTAAATTTCTTGAACGATACAGTAAGCCAAAGATATCAGAAGTTCCAGAAAACAAGGAATCTTGCGGTTGTAATGAATACATAGATACATATGGTATTCAAGGTACAAATGAAGATGAAAAGAAAGTTCAATTGTTGAAAGAACCTGAGACCAGAGACAAATTAATAAGCACAAAACAGCCAAAAGAACGTTGGAATTTGGCGCTTAAGGATGTAGATTTAATAGATTATTTTACACGATGTAGAGATAGTTTGCCTTGTTGGTTGAAATGTGGAAAATTTAATAGAGTCGGCTGTCCTGTGCTACATCGAAAACTTAAAACAAAACGACCAGTGTGTGAATGTAAATATGAAAGGAAAATACTCGAACATAAAGAGGAGAAAACGAAATGGAAAGAGCGTCAAAAACGATTGAAATCCTTGAAAAAACGTCCATATGTTAATGTTTCTGATATTTCGAAACCATTGGTACCAAATACAAAATTAATGATATCAGAAGTAAAAAGAATTCCAAGAGAGGATGAATACATCGACGACATTAAGTATTGTATAACCGGAGTTGCTGAAAATTATGATTATTTACCACCTAAGCAAGTAGTAGGTGGAATCCATATGGCTACACCCATTCAGACGCCTGAACCAAGTGAACACGAAATACCATGTATTTGTTTGCATCGACATTGGTCGCCTATGAAGATTACTCCTGGACCATTACCAAAACCTGAAGAAATTTTACTTGTTGAGAAGAAACGCAGACAAGAAGCTGTGAAAGAAGCATTTCACCAAATTTATGCTCCTCAGTCAACATATCACATGCACAATGATCATGGTTGTCAAGAAAAATGTGGTAAAAATTTTGAAACAGAGAATAATAAGAATACAGAAAAAAATCAACAAATTGACAGCCGCTATGTAGCATCATCTCGTTTACAAAAACCTATTAAAGACAAAGTAACAAATTCTTCTCAACGTGTTAAGCAACGCATTAAATCAAACATTGGCAATACTGAAACTAAGATTGAAGTTAAAAATTTGCAAAAATCTTCTGGAAGTAAGATTAGGGATTCACATAAAGAGGATAGAGATTTTAAGACTGAAGAAAGAGATCAGAAACGTTTAAATGTTCCTCAAAGACAAGCATATAGAGAAACTAAAAGTGATGCTCAATATAATTCTATTGAATTAGATGCAGAAAAGGCACATGCTTTAGATAAGGAAACTGAAAAAGATTCTGATGATACCAAATGTTATTTAATGGCTATAATAAAGGTAAAATGTATAATTTTATGTTTCACATATACATTTATTTAGGTAAGATATAATTATAAATTCTCAATCAATCAGATTGAATTAAAAAAAATGGCGGCAGAAGGGTTTCTATTTGCAAAATTACCCAAATGTTTTTTAATGCCACAGTTGCGATATTGGATAATGTATAGAAAAGGTTTCAATCTTAGTTATGCAGATAAAAGTAAGTGAAATATTTGTATATAATGCTCCATATGCATATTGTATCATATTTATATAACCAGTATTTCTATTGATGAATTATTGAGAGTAGTAGTACTCTACTAAAGTAAAGGAACTAATAATAGTGATTAGTAGAATTAAATCGTTACTGGAGAAAAGTTCACGATCAACAGTTTTGTATATTTTTTCAGTATTACATTTTTTAGTAGCTTTCTTTACCAAGAGACGTTTCTTCCAACTAGCCTAAAAAACAGTAATGAAAATTTCCTATTATAATGTCTTTTTAGAGTCATCAGTTCGCAACAGTATTAAAATGTGGAACATATTTGATAAGAAAACCGCAAGATTTAAAATTAATGTACCATCGTTGAAAATGACGAAAATTCAGCTTAGGAAATTAACGTACGACGATGCGCGAGAAATAAAAGAAAAGGTTAATATAACAATTAATAATATAGAAACAAGTATAATAATAGATACGACATATATACCTAATGTGACATAGATACAAAAAAGTATTTGATATATGTAGTAAGTGTATATAATATCGAGTAATATTTTAATCATTTTATAGATCGCGTTGAAAAAAGCTACATTCTGTAATCGAATACGAAAGGAGCGGGTTTTGTATGCACGATCAATGTGGAATTTAATGGAATACGGAAAATTCCCATCGATATCGTTCAAACGAGCATATTTTACCTACATGGCTGGCAAAGAAAGTGATGGCCACGTTTTTAAACCATGGTTACCTATCGAAGTGCGCGATATGACTATAAAGTAAAATAAAATAGAAATATTCGCATAAAATTCATATTCGAATAATCGATCTGAATGGTCGAGTTGATTTTTGGACAATCGAGAAGAGGAGCTCGAACGGAGCAATCGATAATTTGATGCGAAGATTTTTAAGTCTGTTATAGCTGTCGTAAGAGTACTGGAGGATGGATTTCGAAAGTCCAGATGTAGAGAAAGAATTTCCTGGATTGTACGCCTCGGAATCAGCAAAAAAAAGTAATGAAAGCGATTGTACGTATTATCGTTTATCGAATTATCTGATTATCTTCGCGCGACAGTTTGCCTTTAACTCGATAGGTTATGCATCTGTCACGAAACTTTATTACTCGAGTTATGAATTGTTTTTCTAATTGATGAACATGCTTCAGTTCGATCGTTTAAAACACGCATATTATAATGTACGTGTATGTATTTTGCAGTTAGCGATGAAGGTGGACACGAGAAACATTCTAAAAAAGAACTCCTCAGTGGTAAACGAAAAGAAAAGAAAGATCGAAAGGATCGAGGATATGCCACCTTAGAGGGTGAAAGTTCCCCTGACGAGGATCAGGAAACAAAGTAATGCTTTTCTGTATGATTTTCTATTCATATGAATTATATAAACATTGATTTATATATCTTAATTTTACTTCTTTTAAGTTCTTCTGTTTGTTTAACATTCAAAACAAATGCTTACTAGACCATTGATTTCAGATTTATATAATATTTTTTGTAATGAAGGATATTAACATGTAAATCAGTATTATCGAGTAATTTTAATTTTCACATATTGTTGGCACTGATATGTTAATTAAGCTTCACATTAATCTAAAATTAGTTGTATTGATTAGATTGTTTAGTGTCTACCTAGTAGCAATCATCTTGAAATGGAAAACAAACTTGTAACAAATATTTATGATTTAATATTGTTGATCATTTTGATCTTTATTTCTGTAGTAAATATATATTTTGTTGTAAAAGTATTAGTCCTGTATGTTCAAAGAAGTGATGAGTAAATCACAAGTTCAAGGAGTCAATAAAGAAATTAAATATTGTGTACTTTATAATGTATAAAGTAAATGTATCTTTTCCTATATTATATACAACTACTTTATTACTTGAATTGGCATATAATTTAACTCACAGAAGTCCTTCAAAGTCAAAAAAGACCAAAGCTTTCAAATTTCCGTCAAAGAAAGAAAAGCGTGAAAAATCCAGAGAAAAAGAAGGTAAAGAAAAGGACGGTGAAAAGGATAAAGACAAAAAGAAAAAAGACAAAGATGAGAAAGACATAGAAAAAGAAAAACGTAAAGAAAAAGAAAAGGATAAAGCAAAGCAAAAATTAAAAGATCGTAAAAAAGGAAAGCATACTGGAGAAGATGGCCTGGATATTGGGGGTATGATACCTATACTTATTCTTTGAGATTATTTGATGTATCATTAAATTTTTAATCGTCTATTTAGAGGAACAACCGGTATTTGGTGTTAGACTGTATTTAGCAGTGGAAAGAAGTCGTTGTCACGATGGTGTTGAACTACCTTTAGTTGTAAGAGATTGCATTGATTTTATAGAGGAGCATGGAATGAACGTGGAGGGTTTGTATAAAGTTCCAGGAGTAAAATCAAAAGTTCAATATTTAAAAAAATTATATAACCACAGAGAACTAGTAAATTTATCTGAATTCGAACCTACAGTAGCTACAAGTTTATTGATATTGTTTCTTAGGTTTGTATTTCGCAGTATTAAATATAAACAAATATCTTAAAATGGAAAAATATATAACAGCTTTGATAATGCAGGGAGCTACCAGAGCCTGTCTTAGAAAACAGTGAAATGATATCAAGGTTTGAACAAGCAGCATCTACAAAAGATGTTGCACAAAGAGAAGCACAACTAGTGCATTTAACTCAGCAGCTCCCTAAATGTAATAAAGTTCTTCTCGCGTGGGTTATATTACACTTAGATCATGTTACAGCCCGAGTATGTTGGAAAAAAAAGGAAACAAAAAAATTAAAGCATAATATCTATTATACGTATATCTATTCTACATAAAATTGTATTACAGGAAAAAACAACTAAAATGAACGCTCAAACTATCTCAATGACATTAAGTCCTGTACTACAAATGAGTCATAGATTGTTATTAGCTTTGTTATTTCATTGCAAAGCTCTTTTTCCAAATGTACAATTAATAAAGTATGTACCGCCACTTTCGTCTGGTAGCGTTAATCTTCCAGATTCTGTAGAAAATATAGCAGCTGAATTATCTAAGCAAGAATCGTTACTCTCACAAATACACATGCAAATGAACGCAGGTTTTGTTACAAAATCACGCGAGGAACAGTTATGGGAAGTACAACGTATGATAACGCAATTAAAGGTTCGATTTTATTGTTTTATTTTCTAATCTAAAACGTGTGAAAAAATTATTATGCATACATAAATCTTTATTTAGAGGAAATATAAAACGGTTCAAAAAATGGAAGGTGCAGCGCAAAAAAGTTTAGATGAAGAGGTAAAATCAAATGATGAGACTATAATAGAATTAAATGTACAAAAAACAAAAACAGAAGAGGAAGATGTAGAACATATGAAATCGGAAACTCAAACAACTTCCACTTCAACATTAAAAAAAAATAATAAAGCGCATATTTCAGAAGACAATAAAGAACCAACAAGTACAAATATTACGCAAAATGAACGAAATGTTCATATATATGACAAAGATATTGTTGATTCTGCTGAATCATCTACACTTGTGTCGCAGTTTAATGAGCAAGAAAATACTTCATCTAGAACAAATGAAAATGGTATGATCGATGATTAAGATCAGTTTATATGATTTTTAATTATAATCTTTAATTATATTACTTTAGTTTCAGCAGTAGAACCTGAACCTGAAAATGCTATTGACAAATTGAGAGAGAGTTTAATTTATGAAGAACTATTAAATATGCAAGCATTACTAAAGTCACGAATAAATCAAGAAAGAAATGAAATTAAACGTTTAATGGAAATGCTAACCGAACGTGGTCCAGAAAAGAAAAAACCAAAAGAAAGGATACACTCACCGAATGAAGCAGAGATGACAGCTATGATTCAATTAGTCAAAGAAAATCAGTTACTCGAGGTACTTGTGAAAAATTTGTAACATTATCGATTTTAAATTGATGATCAATAATCGTGTCTATTTATATTTTAGAAAAAAATGACTACTTTAATCCGCAGTATCATAGAAGAGAAAGATGCTTGCATAGAACTTCGTGTTCAACTAGCAGTTCATCAATTAGCGGCTAAAACCTGACCATTAACTATAAAATGATATTTTTAATTCATCAAAAAGAACATTACACAGATTCTGAAAATATGTAACATGATGTTTTGCACAGGATGAACATATATAGTTTATAAGATGTTACTACAATCATGTTTTCTTGACTTATTCTATTCTCTTGTAAAATAAAAAAAATATATTGAACATGGATGTATGTCTTTACTTAACATGAAAAATTCTTGTTTGTGTATATATATATATTTTATTAATATGCATTTGCATTAAATATGATAATTACATGTAACTTGCATATACTTTTAACATTTGCATATACTTTTACATTTATATTGTTTTATGTATTTATTTAAAACAAATATGCTATTTCATACAATCTTAGAGTAACAAAGATACTTGATGGAAATGAATAATCTTTGTACATGAAAGATTAAAGATTTTGATCAATATTAAACAACATTCGACATTTATTTCTTTTAACTGAATAAAAGAGTAACATTTCTACAGATGGTAATTTTATATTGGAATGTAGGACCGAAAAATATAAAGTGTTATACAATCATATTCTTTTTTCTATGTTAATACTGAATAATATATTACCCTTTACACAATCACTTCTTATAAGTGATTATTCGTACGAAACACAAAATATTGTTAGAATTATATTTTAACGACATAGAATTAATGTTAAATTGTACAACAGTTTCTGACCTTTTAGGTATAAGTTCTAATACATATTTGTCATTGTCCAGTTAATTTATCAAAACGTACTAATTTTAATTTTACTTAAAATTTGAACAGAAATATTTTAACTTGATTAATTTATTTTTGAAATTCGATAAATGTTTAACCTTTTTCAATTCATAAAAAATAGGTCAGAGATTTTCCTATCTTTTTCATTTACAATTTTTTCTATAGTTAAAAAAAAAAAAGATATTTAAACGTAAGAGAAATTAATGACGTGAATCTCTGGGATAAAATTCGGCGAGAATGTTAGTAGGAATTCGTTTGAGCATCTCCTTAGGGAAGATACGTAACAATTGCCAACCAATATCCAGTGATTCAAAAACTGTACGATTTTCGTAGCTTCCTTGAGAAATGAAATTTTTCTCGAACTTCAAAAGGAATTCTAGATAGAGCAAGTCATCTGGCGTCAAAGCCTCTTCACCAACAACAGCTTTCATAGCTTGTACGTCTTTTCCAATAGCGTAGCATGCATACTGAAATCAAATTGTTATCATTATTTTCTAAGAACTATAATTAATCTAGGGTATAAAACTTACCAACTGATTAGACACATCAGAATGATCTTTTCGCGTAAAGCCTTCACCGATAGCGGACTTCATAAGACGAGACAATGAAGGAAGTACATTAACGGGTGGATAAATTTGCCTATTATGAAGTTGACGATCAACGTAAATTTGTCCTTCAGTAATATACCCAGTTAAATCAGGAATAGGGTGGGTAATATCATCGTTCGGCATAGTTAAGATTGGAATTTGAGTAATAGAACCATTACGGCCTTCTACTCGACCAGCTCGTTCGTATATAGTTGCCAAGTCGGTGTACATATAACCAGGGAAACCACGTCGTCCCGGAACTTCTTCACGAGCAGCTGATACTTCTCGAAGAGCCTCGGCATAAGAAGACATGTCAGTAAGTATGACTAAAATGTGTTTTTCACATTGATAAGCCAAAAATTCGGCTGCAGTCAATGCCAGACGTGGAGTGATAATTCTTTCAATAGTAGGATCATTGGCCAAATTCAGAAAGAGACACACATTCTCCATCGAACCATTTTCCTCAAAATCTTGTTTAAAGAAACGGGCAGTTTCCATGTTCACACCCATAGCGGCAAATACAATAGCAAAGTTATCTTCGTGGGAATCCAAGACTGACTTTCCAGGCAATTTTACAAGACCAGCTTGACGACAAATTTGCGCAGCAATCTGTATAAAGTACAGTTACATCTATTATAATAACTATACATAATAACTAAACATTGTATTATCTCGATTTAAATACCTCATTGTGTGGTAAACCTGCAGCAGAGAAAATAGGAATTTTCTGTCCACGAGCAATAGAATTCATAACATCGATGGCAGAAATGCCAGTTTGAATCATTTCTTTAGGATAGATACGCGACCATGGATTTATCGGTTGACCTTCAATATCTAAGAAATCCTCCGCAAAAATAGGAGGACCTTTGTCAATTGATTTTCCAGATCCATTGAAAACACGACCCAACATATCTTCGGACACAGGGGTCCGAAGAGTGTCACCAGTGAACTCGCAATGAGTATTTTTTGCATCAATACCAGAGGTGCCTTCAAACACCTGAACAACTGCTTTAGAACCAGATACTTCAAGCACCTGACCAGATCTTATAGATCCGTCGGCGAGGTTCAATTGAACAATTTCTGCATACTTTGGAAATTTAACTTCGTCCAATATTACTAATGGTCCGTTTACACCTGATACAGTTTTGTACGCTATAAAAACAAAGAAAGAATAGTTTTAACATTTCAATATATGTATTGGAAATTTTAACGAAAAAAATGAAATTCTATCTAAATATCTGCTTCATAGTCCTGATATACATGTTATACAAATTTTACTGTATTGTTGTATCAATGCTTGTATATATAGTCACATGATGGGTATCTTGATTCGTGTGAAGAAACAATTTCAATTTTTAATTAGTCAACCAGAGTTAAATGCATGATCATTTATGATATTCTTATATGTTCGAATCATGCTTTCTCGTTTATCATAATCAAAAAGCGAACATATTTAGAATCAGCTGACCAGCAGGCAAATCGATCCGTTGCTACGCCCAGTTTACGTCACTTCACACCTCGCGAAATTTTCTATTTCTGGACTTTGGTAAAATAAGTGTGGTTACTTACTAAGCCGTGGTTGTGAAATGAAATCTCTTGCAACAGCCAAAACATGCTCCTTGGTGGCCTGACGTTCCCCGATACTTTTCGGATACATTTTCGACAGAGCGGTTTTCCTTAGTCTCTTACGTCGGCTAACCAGCAAAAGGTACTGCTGCTACTATTTCGATAAAGGAGGATGGACTCCTCCTCCAGGGAGGTATCAAGGGTGGGGATAACTTTAAAATCCAATTTAAACGAACGAAATCATTGCCAACACCTTCCCTGAAATCAATTAAACGTATCAGCGGAAATAAAGAATGAACTTTTGTTAACAATGACGACTTTTAAATTAAACGAATCTTCCGATTATATGAATTTTACTTCGATAAATTGATGGATCTAACAAGCAGCGAGCATCTGAAAGAGATAGACACAACGGCACGTGCAATCACGTGGCTTATACTAAGTAATTCGTTTGATATTTATTAACAGCAAAATTTGTCGTGAAATTATCTGTTACAATTAAATGTATCGTTAAAAAAAAAAAAAAATTAAATGCGATTCGAGAGGAGAGATGACAACCTATTATTATAAATATGTATACATTATTTGTGTCATTTGTCACACGTAATAGCGGTTCATTCAATTACAAATCCTTACCAATTACAATCTTCAATATATATGAAGTTACATCTTTAAAAACAAAAATGGTATTAAAGAAACAAAGAGATTTCACATTTCTTACATCTTTTTTACATCTATTTCTCGAACGAATGAGATTTTGACAAATAAAATCAAATGCCGTCAGTATGAAATTTGCAAGACTGTCCGAGAAACACAAGTTATTGAGTTATTGAGAAATTTTGTAATATATTTCCTTCGTGTATAAAGATATAGTGTCCACAACGGAATATTAGAAGTAACAATATTGGAGTTATTAGAATAAGAGTATTAAATTGTTAGAAATATCAAATTATTCGAATAAACAGAATGGAAATTAGAATCATATTATTAGAATAGTAATATATATTATTAGAATAAACGGAATGTCAGAAAATCCGTGTAGTTTTAGCCTTGACCCAATTCGCTGTTACAAGAGCACCGTCGCCTCTTTAGTTACGGACCTGATAACAGTAATTTCGCGCCGAGAAAGCACGAGTGTGCTGCACTCAGCCACTCGGTGGCGGTTGGTTCGAGGATTTATGTGTGAACGTAGGACGGTTGATTCGTTTGAGTTAGCAGTATTCTAAGATTTCTTACCGTTATTTCTTAAACACTCGAATTTTCTACATCGTGTAATTAGTCTGTAAAGTAAGTTTTTACCATCGTTCCAGCCGAAAGTGTGTTCTTGTGCTTCTCGATATATCATATATTGAACCATGGCGGCTCTTAAGCGGATGGTCAATCTGTCGAAAACTTTTAAAACGATGACAACCACTCGTTTGTGCTGTTTTCAAACATCAAGGAAAACCTATTTCACATACGTGAACGAACCTTCTATGCCAATATTGAACAAGGAACCATGCTGGCTCAAAACTGCCGATGAAGCGATCGAGAAAGCCGAATTAGACTCTGGTAATTATTTTTACTTGCATTATTGATATTTTACACACTTTGTTTCATTATTGAATTCACTTTCAAAAGTTATACTTCGTCTAATAAAAGAAAGAATCGCATTTTTCGAAAACTAACCTCAAAATATTCCAAGAACAAACGCAGATGTTAATGATTTTTTTTTTACGTTTTAAAAAAAGAAAATATTTTTCAAATTTACGTATTCGTTTCGTAAAGGAATGTGAACGTAAAAGCAAAGTTTATATTTGGACTATGATTGTAAATATTCCGTAAAATTTTCGATACTAATCCTAATTTTATCTTTGTTTAGGCGACTAATCTAATTCGTATCGAATTATAAATTTTCTTTATCCTTTGGTATTTTCGGCATTACTAACGACTTCGCAGTCGTTCATTTCATCGAGTTGTACGATAAAAATTGATGAGATTGATTGAAGAAAAAATAGTGAGACATTTAAATAATAAATCAACTTTGATCTACCACTCTTATTGGTTATCATATCCGTGTTTGTTTAAAGTATCAAAAGTGGGTAAATTGATGCCAAATTATCAATAGGTTTAGTTGTAAATATTTTTCAATTTTCTTTTTTTTTCAAGAACTTATTTGTGCTCAAATTATTCTATGTCTTGTATAAGGCAGATATATATTAATATTAATATAATATTACATTTACGGACGCTTTGTTTCAAAGGTCACGTAAGCAGATTAAACTGACGTATTTGATAGCCATAGGCTTTATATATGTATAAAGAGGAAAGATAAAGCTGGTACTACTGAACATTAATCAAACAAGTTTTCAAGGATTTCATTGATTCACTGATTGTAACTGGACGCTACTAGATATCAGAACTACTATTATATTATTATTATATTATTATTAAAATTATAGAAAGATGGAAAATGAGAAATACGATTTTCGTACTAACGCATATATATGTATATGTCGTGCATGGATTGCGGATATTGCGGAATTAAGATATACGAAATAAAATTAAAATGCTGTAAATATACGAACATTCATATTCAAATATTTCGGTGATCTTGAAAATTTAAAAAAAGAAAGATTTATTTTGTATTTTTTAGCAAAATATTAAAAATATTTAAAAAATCCAAAATAAACGACATAAATTTTATATTTTTATATGGTATAATTACAAAAATCTGACATTATGCAAGTAAAATGTGGAATTTCACTTAAAGAACCCTTCATTAAAAAATTAGGATACGTGCAAATATTTTTTATAGCCCTTGTAATATATTTTTATAGCCAAGATGATGAAAAAAAGGATCTAAGATTTTACAATAAGTTTATTACATATGTTTCTTGTATTATATTCTGCCATATAAATACACACACGCGCGCGCGCGCATACACACACTATTTGTTAATATTAATAGTTAATAATCTTGCTTACAAAATTACGCTCATCAAATATAGAACATCGTATAAAATAATGTGACCTCAACTCCTCGTGTAAATGTGCGGTTTAATCGGCGAATGTTATTGGTTTGATGAACCGCACAATCACGTAATTTTTTATCTACGAATTTCCTCTTTAAAAACATTTGTCGCGTACAAATTACGAAGAATAAAGATTTGTACTGTTTCAAAATTTTCAAAAGTCAAAATTTCATTGCTATCAAAAAATGAATAATTTCCTATTTGTATCCCGGAAGTCGTTACATAATCAATGTATGCCCATAACAAGGCCATTTGGTCTTAAATTTATACAAGTTACGACGATGATAAATTTTTATTTGGATAATCGCGATCGCTTAAAAATCCAGCAAATAAAAATTTAGAAAAGAGTATATAGAAAATATATAAAAAATAAATAAGAATATATATATACATTCATTAAAAATAAATAAGAATATATATATATATATATAATCACTTAATTTAGTTAGATATGATTTAAATTTTTTTAATATTTATGACTTAAATCTTTTTTTTTCTCGAAACAAAGAAACATTAAGATTAAAGTTATAATTCCATAAAAAGTATTCACTTTACTATGACCTTTGAAGTACTGCAATTAGTATTATTTATATCTGTAGATGTTCATAATACATGATACCACTGAAAGCATAATTGTATAACAAAGAACAATATTCTATGTACATTGTATGCATATTCTTAGTATGAGATATATTCCTGATAGCAACTGAATTAAAAGTTTTTATTATATCCAGTCCAAGGTCATATATCTTTGTTTTTTTCAGATCAGCTTGTATTCATCCAAGGTGCAGCAGCTACTCCTACTGAGTTGTTAAGAGCGATGACAGAATATGGTGTCCGATGTGATGTGAGAAATGTAAAATTGTTTCACATGCATCTTGAAGGTGATGCACCGTTTGCGAAACCAGAAAATGCAAGTAAGTTGATATTGAGATCTCTTAATTGTTTTTCGAACCAGTACAGTAAACTTGATTATATAGTTGTTCTAAGGAGTTTAAACATGACGCAATTCTTTCTTTTAAAGAATGCACTACTATATGCATAAATATTTGAACGCTTATATTTTACCGCTTGGTACAATTTGATCAAAGTTATCTCTGTTATATTTTCAAAGTTAGTGAAAGGATATTGATTGAAACAAGGAACTAATAAAATTCTGCACTAGTAAAGTCATAGTATCATATTTATGTCTAATAAATAATTGACAGTGCATAAAATTAAAATAGATATTGCAGAATTAATTGCAGAATGAAATAAATAATTGTAGTAATTTAGAAGTGTCCAAATACTTCTACATGTTAGTATTTGTTTCTTAAAATAGCTCGATTTTCTAAATATAATATCAATTATCTTGAATAAACTTTACAAAAAAATTCATATATAAAAATGTTCTATTATATATTATAGCTTTTTGTGTGCAGAACATTTCAGATCCATTAGCTTCTTCATTGGAGGTAACGTGAGACCAGCTGTTCAGGCGGGACATGCTGATTGCATTCCAATTTTCTTGCATGAAATTCCACGAGTATTTAATGAAGGATATGTTAAGCCAGACATCGCACTTATCCATGTTAGTCCACCTGATGACAAAGGATACTGTTCACTTGGTACTAGTGTAGATTGTGTACGAGCTGCTCTGAGCAATTCTAAATACATCGTAGGTAAATTTTCAAAATTTCTCGAATTCATTCGACATACCAGAATTATTTGCTGATTAACTCTTCTTTTTTGTTTACAGCTTTAGTAAACAAGTGTATGCCAAGAACATTCGGTGACGCTTTAATTCATGTTAGTCACTTGGATTTCGCTGTGGAACATCACAAACCACTTCCAGTGCATCCTGTAAAAGCACCGTCAAAAGAGGAACAACAAATCGGTAAATACATCGCCGAAAATTTAGTAGTAGACGGAGCCACATTGCAAATGGGCATCGGAAGTATACCGGATGCAGTATTGTCACTTTTGAAGAATCACCAAAATCTTGGAATTCATAGTGAAATGTTCAGTGACGGTGTAGTAGAATTAGTCGAGAAGGGATGTATAACGAATAACCGTAAGACAATGCACAGAGGCAGAATTGTCGGTTCGTTCTGTGTTGGATCAGACAAGTTATATAATTTTATGCACAATAATCCTTTTATAGGTAGGTGCATTTCATACCGAGAAATGTTTTTTTTTTTTTTTTTTTTTTTTGGGGGGTAATTAAACTTGTATAAAGTTATTACTTGATGAATTTTGTAGAAATGTTGGTAGTAGACTACGTGAATGATCCAAAAATAGTAGCCAAACAACCAAATATGACGGCTATTAATTCGTGTATAGAAGTCGATGTCACTGGCCAGATTTGCTCCGATAGTATCGGAACTAGAATGTATTCTGGATTTGGAGGGCAACTAGATTTCATTACGGGTGCTGCTCTTAGTGATGACCGTCAAGGAAGACCCATCATTGCATTGCAGTCTGTTACCTCGAAGGGTGAAAGCAAAATTCAGCCTGTTTTAAAGACAGGTATGTAATTACTATTTTTAATAACAATTTTAATTCAGACTAAGACCTGCCATTCGTTTTAAGGTGCTGGTGTCGTTACAAACAGAGCGATTGTACGATACGTTGTCACGGAATATGGTATTGCCAGTTTATTCGGCAAAAGTCTTCAACAGCGTTCGTACGAACTAATTCAAATTGCACATCCCGATCATAGAGAAGCGCTAGAAAAAGCAGCATTTGAACGTTTAAAAGTGATGCCAGCGCCATAAGCACTATTCATCTAGTTGAAAACAATATTCGAAGGCCTTTTTTAAAAATAACATTTCATGATAGTTGTTTCTCACAAACATAAACATTTCTATGCGACGAGGAAAACTATTATAAATTATTTCGCGATTTTTTAATATTTTATGCCTTTTTATTGAAACACTAATAATGAAAAAAAAGTAACGAATAACGAAAAAAAAGAATACAATTTTAATGTCACATCATAGTGAATTCCATTTTGAATAAGTACATAACAAGTACTTCTGTTGTAGGCGAATTCCATTCGATTCCGAAATAAAAAATGAGAAAACTTTCATTTTAAACAGGTATTTCGTAATCGAAACGTGCTTGATGATAACCAAAATAGCGTATAACGAATAATTTTTACACGAAATTTTGAACGTTCCTGTGTAAAATAACATTATTGTAATTATTCAGACTACGTTTAAAACAATAAATTAAAAACAAAATACAAATAGAATGTATATCACTCTGTTATAATCATTTCCATCTGTACTCGAGTGAAATACAAAACGAAAATATGTATTGAACGTATATCGACAAAATTGAATAATCGAATACCGGTAAATCCGACGTTCAAATACTAATCGTGGAGATGGCAACGGACCTAATGTGACTTGACATTTAAGATCAAAGAAATTCTTTAGATTATGTGTCATCCAAATTTCAACGTAATTGCTGTATATATTTTTACTTTTTCAACAAGATCTAGCAAATTTTAATCGTTTGTATATGTTTTGACGTGTCGTTTGTCTTCTTTTATCAAAATGTTCGGTCTCAATTTTCGTCGAAATTTGGAGTCAACGTTTGGTAAAATTTTGCCAGCAAGATCTTTTAATATATGTGGCGTAAGATACATACGAGAACCTTTGCAACCATTAAGACGTTGTCCAAGGTGGGTTTGCGTTGAAGATGCAGTAAAAATTATTAATTCAGGTACTTGATTTCATACAATAACTTTTTTTTTAATCTAAATTTTTGTTCGTGGCTAACACAAAGTTATTAAGTTCATATTTCTTCCAGAGCATTTAGTTTTTATTCAAGGGGGTGCAGCAACGCCTAATGAATTAATACGTGCCATGACCGAACATGGTGTTTGTAATAATCTACGTGGAGTGCGATTAATTCATATGGGTCTCGAGGGTGATGCACCATTCGCAAGTCCTGAATTTGAGAGTACGGTATTTCATAAATCAAAATATCAGATACGAAACTGCCATGTTACGATCGTAAAACTACAATTATGTTTTAGGACATTTCAGATCTATAAGCTTTTACATCGGTGCTAATCTGAGAGAGGCTGTTAATGAGGGCAGAGCAGATTATATACCTATATTTCTCCATGAAGTTCCAAAACTTTTTTACGAGAAGAGAATTGTCCCAGATGTTGCATTAATTCAAGTCAGTGTTCCGGATACTCGCGGTTTCTGCTCTTTAGGTGTAAGCGTGGATTGCACGCGTGCTGCGATTAGTTCAGCGAAAGTTATTGTTGGTCAGTAAGTGCTTGACAATAAATAACTATTATATTTAATTAAAAATTAATATTTTTTTTCCATTCAGCCCAAGTTAATGAACACATGCCGAGATCATTTGGAGATACTACTATTCATTCTAGTCACATTGATTGGGCAGTTAAATATGACTGTCCTTTACCATGCATAGCTAATACTCCTCCAAATGATATTGAGCAAGAAATTGGCAAAATAATTGCACAAAGGCTAGTAGATGATGGAGCGACTTTACAACTTGGGATTGGTAACATACCTGATGCTGTTCTTTGTTCTCTTGGTAATCATAAAGACTTGGGAATCCATACAGAAGTACTTGGCGATACAATGGTAGATTTAGCAGAACGAGGGAATATTTCAAACAAAATGAAAATAAAGCACAGAGGACGTATGGTTGCTTCTCTAGCAGTTGGTACAAAAAGAGTATACGATTTTTTACATAATAATCCATTTGTAGGTGTGTATATGTATTTATCATATTTTAAAATTAATAATATATTAAAGATTTAGTCCTGTGTGTAAATAACAACATTTATTATTCATTTACGCAGAAATGCTTGCAATTAATTACGTAAACGATCCTCGAGTAATATCACAACAACCAAAAATGACAGCTATTAATTCTTGTATAGAAATGGATATTACTGGTCAAATATGTTCTGATAGTTTAGGCTGTAAAATGTATTCCGGATTTGGTGGTCAGCTTGACTTTACTCGAGGCGCGGCATTGTGCCAAGATGGTCGAGGAAAAGCTATAATCGCATTCCCTTCGGTAACAAATAAAGGGGAAAGTAAAATTCAACCTGTGATTAAGCTTGGTATGAAAATGAATTTTATATCATTCATTTCAAAAAATCGTTTCCACAATTTTATATGAATTTGTTTAATATGATTTTTTCGTAAATACAATCAAAATTATTTAATAGGTGGTGGTATCGTGGTATCGAGAGCACATACACACTACATAGTTACTGAGCATGGTGTAGCACATCTTTTTGGTAAGACATTACGTCAGAGAGCAAATGCATTAATTCAGATTGCTCATCCTGATCACAGAGAATGTCTTGAAAAAGCTGCATTTGAAAGACTTAAATCTAATCCAACAAAATATTTATAATTTATATATATTTACGAGTAATATGTTTTATAAATATTTTATAAATATATTTTATAAAATTTTGTAACATTATTTGTATTCGGTGCATATACGAAAAGTCTTTTTATCTCAATGTTTATGTTATAAAATTTTTGTGTGAATGTTCCTTTTAAATAGAATGAATAAATATTTATAATTGTTATCATGAAATTCATTTTTGTGAATCATTTGTCAATCTATCAATCATTGAACAATTTGAATAAATAATTCATGTATTTTTAATTCTTATTTGAAAGACACGTATATAAGCAATATTTATATATATACATACAGATGTAATTTTTTAATTTATACAGGCGTAGTTAACTAATAATAATATTTTTCAAAAATTGATACCTTCTGGCAATGTTCCTTCTCGTCGTCTCTTTTCAACGTTTTCGTAATATTCAGAAAAATTAACGTAAGATTTAATTCTAGTATTTCTGTTCGTTGGTCTTGCGCCAGGAGGATATATATCCGATGACGATGAAGTTTCAGTCGTTGAAAAATCGGAATTTTCTTCTGTAGCACTCGTAGTTGAATACTCGTTGTCTGGTATTGTTGTAATCTGAGTAGATTCTATAATCGGGTTAAATCTAACAGACTGATTAGTTGGACTTTTCAATGCATGAGGAAGTGGGAAATTGAAATTTCGTACAAGAAGAGTAATATCGTCTCGTTTACCAGTAGTTACTGTACTTTGTAAATTACTCATATTTATGTCATGATGAATTCTTACAACTTTATCTACAACAGCTTGAGCAACTCCTGTTAAAGTAGATTGTACCTGAAACTGAAATTTAGTTCACGAGGATAAGAATGCGTTACTTTATATACAATCAATAATTATTTCATACCTCTTGAACTGCAAAATTAATTAATTTTATGTTAACTTGATCAACTCCAATTACTTCTTCCAATGACTTATATAGTCCGCGAGACATAAGCAATAGAAACTTACAAGAATCGTCAATTTCTATTCCACCATGAATTTCTGGTTCTGCAATAACAGGTTCTGCTGTAGCAGATGCTAATTCTTCAAATTCTCTATAACCTCCCTTAATAAGATAATTCCCCAAGCAACGTGTAGTTTCCTGATTTCCAATACGAGATCCTTTAATATAAATTATTATTAAATATCTTGAAATCTATGAATTATATTGAATTGAGTATGTTTCTTTTTTTAATTACCTTGTCTTATAGAGTCAGTATCCAACTCTAAATGAGATAATCTCAACAATTCATCTTCATTTCTTAAATCATGATCCACGCTTAATTGTACAACCCTTAACACTTGATTGGCATCTGTTTTACACAATAAAGCTCTACTATCACCAACATTTGCAACATACAATTTTCCACCATATACAAGAGCTACAACTGCACTGGTTCCTGCTGATAGCTCACAATTTAAAGCATTTAATTTATCCACCTATATAAAATCTCAATATAAATAACATCGAATGATTTCAAAATTCATATATATATAATATAATATACTTTAACCAAACCGACCAAATGAGGAAACTTTTGATATGTTTCATAGGAGTTCAGTCCATCTGGTATATCAAATTGCAAACTGGTTCGTTCAGCTAAAAGATCTCCTATAGAATCTAAATATCCTCTTTCCACTGCTATAAATGCCTGTCTATAATTGCAAATTGTATGATTTTCTTTTCTTTACAAAAACATTTATAATCTTTGTTTATTGTGCATTAGTACCTAAGAACTTCTTTAATTTCTTCATCCGTTGATTTGCCATTCAACTGTCCAAGTAAAATTTCCGCAGCCATTCGCTGCATAGCAAAGTTTGCAACTTTGGTACCTTCGTGGCCATCAAACACTCCATAAAGAAATGTTGAATCGTCATAGCGGCAATGAAAACTTCGATCTTCGAACGGGTGTTCCTCTTGTCTGTACCCATCCTCGCGATAGATTTGATTTGTAGAAAATCCTACGCCTGAAAAAAAGCAAAGAAATGTAAACATAAACACGGACATTTTTAGGTTAGTTTAACAAATTTTTACGCACCAGATTGTTTACATACTGGCAAATCATCTGTCCAACTATACTGAGTATCCTGAAAAGGTATCAAATTAGGGCGTTCTGCCCTAGTTGGCATTATTAAAGAAAATTAAGTAACTTTAACGAAAATGTCAATTGATGTACATGTATGCGGACTTACGTTTCTAACATATCGACTGCGTATCGACTCACATCGATTAAAGATATTGACAATTTCACAGCAATCGATTAGACTATTTCAAATCAAATTTTTTCAAAAATTTTTTCAAAAAATCTCCAAGTACTTTTTCTTGCTTGATGCATTTCGTTTACAGCTTTAATTGCGCACAATAATTAATTTATATGTGTATAACGTAATAATATCTTTACATAATGTACGAAATAAAAATATATGCATAAAAAATTTACAAAATGCAGATTACCTTTTCTTTTATGTATTTTATTTCTTATACGTTTTATTTATTGTACATTTATTGTTTTTTTTTATTTATCATATATTATTTTATGTTGTATAAAATTTCTACTTTTTTAAACAACAGATACATACTGCTCTATATAAAAACAAAAGCAATTCTTATTACGAACTTTTATCCTACCTGCCAAATTACATGACATTTCGACCAATTAACAGAAAAAATTTATAGTAATTAATTACATTGATTAACACTGAATATGTAACAGTTTTTAATCGCAACGTTAATTAACACGTTAATATTACAAGACACCTAATATAAAAATGTGACAAATCATTTTTTAAAATTTTAATCAGAGTAACGCCTATTAATAGAAGAAAATAAATTGTTAAATAGGTTATTATTTATAATGTATTTGTTTTATTATTAAAACCTTTTTTTTATATGCTTTTCATATATGTATGCATGTGTATGTCACGCACGCGCGCGCGTAATATGTACAATGTGTTATGTTACATATTATATATAATAATATATAATACATAATTAATATTTAATATTTTTTACTTAATGCACAAAGGAGAACATGAGTCAACGACCTCAGTTAACAAAAACTGAACAACTTCGTCAGGCCAAAACTGCCGCACGTATGAGAGATATTGAATTAAAGGAGGATGCAGCAACGAGACATCAAAAAGATCCATTCAGACCTCGTAGGAGGATGATTAGGCCTGAGCCAAAAAAAGTGGACTTCACTAAGCCAGGGATGACTAAAGCAATGCTAGCTAGAGTAAAACAAGCTGAAAAGTTTAAACAAGAATATGAACGTAAGCAAGAATCAGTTACATCAATTCGTAGAAGGACACCTGCACCGATAGGAGGTGATGCCAGGTCGTGACAAACTTAGTCAAACTTAATTGTAATAAACGACACGATATTTGTTAGATGTAATAACAACATTCTTCTTTCTTCTAATTTTAATTACACTCTTCGTATCATTGCTGTAAAATAGCTAATAATATGCCACGGAATAATTTAAGTAATTTAGAAATTCCCACCATCATGTATAACATTATATCAAATTAGATTGGGTAGGGAAAGAGCACCAGCTAGAAAAGCTCCACGCGTAGCTCCAGCTACAACTCCTTTGCGAGAAGTTTCACCATCCAGAAGAGAATTTGAAGCTGGACCCAGTCGTTTGCCTCCTGTCAGAAAAACTCTGAAAACACCGAAAACAC